GTATTTTTTTCTTTTATTCCATGGATTTTACCCATTTACCTCCACTTGTTCCCAGTGTTTTTCTGCAACCACTATGCGCGCACAGCTGCAAGTGACGTAACTGTGACGTCTACTCTAAATTGGTCTATAGAGAGGCTTGTGAATTCCATAGATGTTTTTATACATAATTGTTTATACATAACATCTTTTATTAGGTTGTGGACTTAAATGTATATTAAGGCATTCTCAAAGACTACTTTTTGTCAAGGTTTATATTTTTTGTTGTTTTAAATGTTGATTTGAAGTGTAGGTTTTTGCATTATTATTACTACATTCAAACCTGAACACAGAAAGCATTTTGTTACACAAAAGATTAAAATTCTATAAAAATGTAACAAAAATGAACAGGAATGCTTTATCAGAGCTTAATCCTTCTGGGACTGATCTGATTTTAACTTCTTATTTCAGTCTTCTGACTCATTTTGGCTATATGGTTATAGCCATACCAATTCATTTGAGTATGTATAATTCTGTATGTGTGTGTCTGTGAGTGTGTGTGAGTGGATGTATCTGTTTTACACTCTTGATGTTTTAGAGTGTAACCCCTTCTTTGCTGTCCACTTTTTTAAATTGATTTTATTTTGCATAGTTGCAGTGTTACAGTCACACCAGTTCATAGGTGTGTGTGTGTGTGTGGAGTTGGTGTGTTGATTTTGCACTCTGGATGTTTTAGAGTTTCACCCCTTCATTGCTGTGCAATTTTTTTTCTGCATTGTGTGGGATTTGTAGATTGTACACAAAAATTGTCTGTATTTTCGATTGTTTTCCCATTCATTTCCTATGGTCGGTCATTTTTGACCGAAGACCATGAGTGTGACTATTTTTTACGGCCACTTAGCTTTTTCAAATCATGCCCTCAATTTTTTTTGTGTTCACATACCAAGTGCCATAAAGGTCACCAAGTTTCGTACCATTCTGGTGAAGCTACGATTTAAAAAAATTCAAAATGTAAAATTCTCCAGTCAGAAGTGACCGAAGACTGCATAAGGATAAATTTTTTTTTTTGTAAATTCAATGAATCATTTTTTTTCAGTGCACGTGTGAGGAAAAGAGAACAAGAGAATGCTGATGCTGATGACTTGATGGTCAGCTGTAGTAAACGTGCCTACAGCCTGACTGACCACAGCTCTATGTTTACGCTGAGATGCTCCCTTTTTGTTTTCAGATCAGTATCTCTATGCTGGCACGGCGTCTGATTTCCTGGGCAAGGACAGCACGTTTAGCCGCTCTCTCGGGCCGCCCCCAGACCAGCAGTACATTCGCACAGACATCTCTGAGGACTACTGGATAAATGGTCAGTGCTCCCCACCAGTCCACTTCAATACACTCATACCAGCACTCAGTGAATAGGGCCTTTCGCACCGCAGGAACCTTTTCATAGTACCAGAACTAATTGTGGAACTACCCACTTTTTGGCGTTTTCGCACCGCTGGAACTGGGTGCGATTTTAGTACCGGACTGCCTTTTTCGAGAACCAAATTAGCTCCTACTCCGGAGCAGGGTCTAGTTTTTCTTTGTTTTCGTTGTTGAACGCCGCGCACAAATGACGTCGCTGTCGACCGGTTCCTAGTACACACTGTCGGTGCGAATGCAACCCTTTAAATGGTACTGGGAAATAGTTCGCGCAAAATCGTCCCAGTACTTTAGTACTGTACATTTAGTTCTGGAACTAAAGCGGTGCGAAAGGCCCTAATGACATACAACCTGTTTAGTTTAGTTTCTAGGTTTAATTTATTGTCCTTGAAAAGTTCTGAATGAGGGAGTTTAATGAGGGAATTTTGCAGTGATGGTTTACATGTTGCATTTTTGTTTTTGAAAGAAATCAATTATGCTCACTAAGGCTGCATTTATTTGATCAAAGCATACAGTAAAAACATCAATATTCTTTTAATAGTATTACAATTTAAAATAACTGTTTTCTATTTTGATGTTTTTTTTTAATTTAGTTTATTCCTGTCATGCAAAGCTACATTTTCAGCACATATTACTCCAGTCTTCAATGTCACATAATTCTAGAATTTTATTATACTAATTTGGTGATTTAAAAAAGCCTTTCCTATCATAATCAGTGTTGAAAACAGTTGTGCTGCTTAATATTTGTTCAGGATTCTTTTATGAAAGATAGAAAAAAAAAACATTTAGCATTTATTGGAAATAGAAATCTTTTGCTTTTCGTAGAATTAATGCATCCTCTCTGAAAAAAAAGTATTAATTTCTTTCCACAAAAAAGAAGTCTTACTTACCCTAAACTTTTGTGTACCCTAAACGGTAGTGTATATAAAAACGTCTCAGGTTACTTATGTAACCATGGTTCCCTGAGTAGGGAACGAGACACTGTTGCCTCAGCAAGAGGAAATATCCTGGTGATCGGGAAACCCCTCAGGGCGACCTAGATATGGTAGACCAGTCAGGGTAGCATGAAAGCGTAACCCCAGCCCGGACGTCCAGGAAATTTTTGCAGTGACGCGCCGGGTTTTTTCAATGTATGCTTCAGACACGGGTTACGACGAGGCGTTCCCCCATAACGACCCCTAGAGGACGCAGTTCGAAGTTCCCATGAAAGGGAACAGCATTTGGCCACACACATAAGCTCACACTCATGCTAACACACATACAAAACATAAGTGACAGAATGGGAAAAACCAAAACCACAGAAAATAGCAAAGGCACAGTCATTAATACACTGATACCACAAACTGATTTATTCTCACAAGTCTGTGGAAAAGTTATTACGGCATTAAAATGTGCCACATTTGAGGCGTTGCCTGTGTGTCTAGGATTTATAACTCATATGATTAGGAGAAAAGATCCTTAAATCATAAAAATTGATGAGTCAAATCACCCAGCATAGAAAATAAAAATTATGGTCAGGTGTGTGAGAGTTGCCAGAGTGTGCAAAATTGCATTTGCTGTTATTAACTCAACCTGAGGTTTTTAGATATATCCATAAATGTGTCAAATAGCTCATAAATATTATCTTTGGACTTCCACCTCTTAAATATCTTGAAAAACTAAATGTGATACAGTATATCTTCTGCTTGGACTTGAATAACTTGAATAACTCTGAGAGTAGTAACAATCCAATCCTTTATACCAACTGCTGGCATTTTCATCTCCTCTTCTCCCCTCTCTATTTGAGTCTGAGTCATTTGCAGAGAGTCCAGTATAATACAGTCTTTGTCTAGTCATTGAGTTAATGACTGTCTTTCTTCCACCTTTGGTTTCCTCCTCAATGTTAGAGCTCTTCTAGTGACTGATGCAATTTAATGGAGTTTAAATCCACACAGTCTATTTTCCAAATCCTAAACACCCATTAACAGTCTGCCGTGAGTCTAAAAGGAAATGCCTAGCATTTACACTAAACAGTAGGAAACAGTTTTGTCTTTATACTCTGTCAAACACACAAACAGTGAGTCTTAGCTCTTTTAATAGGCCTCTACATTTTCTTGTGAGTCTTATAAAGTAATAGGTGGATTGGCATGACAGAAATAAATGACCAATTGACCATAATAAAGCTGACCAGCTTTTCTCTTTTGTCCCCACAGAGGGCAAGTTTATTTCCGCCCATCCCATCGCGGACACCTACAATCCTGACGATGACAAGATTTACTTCTTTTTCCGCGAGGCGTCCCGTGATGGGAGCACTACGGACAAGAGCGTGCTGTCTCGTGTCGCCCGGATCTGCCGGGTAAGACCTGTCCTCACACTGCCTGATCAGAGAGGAACTCACCTCATCTCTCTGATCCTTCCTTAGCACATAAGATTAAACGTGCTTCCCCTGGGAGGGGAGGCTTCCTGGTACGTTGCCCTTGATTTGATCTGCTGAAAGTGCACCAAACCACTGTTGTCAGGCGGGGTAAATCATAGCAGAGGTCTGGCCTTTTAATTGCTGCCCAAGTCGTTGTTCATGATGACAGTGGAAGTCCCTTGCGTAGCGAAATAAGTGTGCTAAGTGACTCCATGTTAACACATTGTGTTTTGCCCATCCCTTAACAACAGTTCACTATGAAGGCTGGGGGCATTACATAAAAACCATCCATAAATAAGATTTGAATTCATCTGAAGTCAAGATAAACTATGGGGAACAACAGTTCAAGCATCACACTGACCGCAAATGCATCATTTTTACATCCATGAAGAACACTGTGGGAAATGAACTCTATTCACAAGGTCACTCCCTAAAGAAAGTGAGTAAATGATTCCCTTCACAAAGGTCTCTTCCACAAGGCTGTCATCAAAGCACACAGAAGATGAAAGTAATTTTGCCGTTTGCGATCCTGGGTGGCGATTACTCATAAGAAAAACCTTCAGTTTAATTTAATATTATTAGCTACATTTAATCTTGTTTTGAACTTTTAAAACCCTCAACATGTACACATGGATAATCAATGCAATAAACAAATGGCATGCGTTTTAAACAAAAACATATGAAAAGAGAGCTGTAGATTTTCTTTTTCTGGTTTTTAATTTATGAAGAAACTAATAGTCTGACTATACACATTATACTGCTTATTAAATTCTGTTTTGAGTTAAAATTATTGTATTATGTGAGAAGAAAGAAACCACATATTAATATGACCATGAGTGAGACAGCTGTAGATTTTCTTTTTCTGGTTTTTAATTTATGAAGAAACTAATGAATAGTCTGACTATACACATTATACTGCTTATTAAATTCTGTTTTGAGTTAAAATTATTGTATTATGTGAGAAGAAAGAAACCACATATTAATATGACCATGAGTGATACAAGAGACATAAAACCAGAACTGATACATGTACACTACCATTCAAATTGTAGCGGTATTTAGCCATAAATTATTGGGTTCAGGCGCCGGGGTAAAAACCACCACAATTATTAATTCCGTTTACGATGTGCAAATAAAGAAACTTGCACTATAGATAGAATATCAAATCAAGGAACAACCAGGCAATAAGTTGTAAGTCATATCTATTCTAGAGCCTGACCGATATATCGTTTTGCCGATATTATCGGCCGATATGAGCCTGTCGCCGATATATCGGTATCGGCGAATATGCCGCCGATATGAAAATTTTTTTTACAGAACATATAATGCAGATAAAATGCTTGAAATGGTGTAATTACTTAGTTTGTCCAGCAGAGCGCGCTCCATTGTTTGCTACTGGCGACCTGGATGAAACGTTTTAAAGCTTAAGTCTATGGAAAACCATTGAAACTTTGAATGGCCATATCTCCGTAACGGCGCGGCGAATCTGCACCAAATTGGGGGGAATCCCTTCAGCTCAAGGAACCCTCTCGAACGCGAATCGAGTGTACGTTTCGAGGCCCTCTTTCGAATGAGACCACCTCCGCGTGGAAGCCCCCGGGGTTCGGGAGTTACGGGTGGTTAAATTCGTGGTCCGGCGCCGACCGATCTAGCGATCCCGGGGGGCTACCGACCATTTGAGTGATCATTGCAAAAAATGTGTTTATGTATATATATTCTGGTTATGTATATACTGTATTCTATATATAGTACCAGTCAAATGTTTGGACACACGAATGGGAAAGTGTCCAAACTTCCTATAATATACACAAAGAATATCGGCCGATATATCGGCCTTTTTTTACTCCCTAATATCGGTATCGGCCCCAAAAAACCCATATCGGTCGGGCTCTAATCTATTCAACTTAATTTCAGTTTAGTTTGGGGTCAGTAAGATTTTATTTTACTGATGACACTGATGACTGGAGTAATGGCTGAAGAAAATTCAGCTTTGCATCACAGAAATGTATTAAATGTAACAATATATTAAAATAGAAAAGTGTTTAAATTGTAATAAGATTTCACAATGTTACTGTATTACTGTATTTTCCATCAAATAAATGCAACCTGATGAACATAAGAGAGTTCTCTCAGAAACAGTAAAAAGTCTTTCTGACCCCAGACTTTTAAATGATTAATATAGAAATTATACAGTTTATACTGTATGTTGAAAACAGTTATTGATATGCAAAAATATTTCAATGCAGAATGCTGCATTTGACCAATCAGAATCAAATATTGAATAAAGCTCCGTAGTCATTTTAAGTAATTGTCCATGCAAGTCACCTCTCAGCCTGCAATTATAAAAAGTCAATGATTTAAAGCAGTTTCCTTAATGCTGTAGGCTCATCCTCCCGGACTGTATGCTATAAAAATTCCAAGCTCTATTGCAAAATTCTTGGTCTGAAGCGAGTGGGTTTTTATAGCTTTAGGAGTGAGCTGTAAAGCTATCCGAGGCCAGATTCCTCACTGGATAACTGGCCTAACACTAGAGAGGGCATCTTTGAAGATTAAAGAATTTGGATAACACCACTCCTAAACCTCTTTTAGGTCTTTCCCCCCCCGTTTTCTCAACTGTGTGTTTTTCAACAAGGATAATGTCAGAGGAGGAATATGTTTGCTGCTCTAAGTGGGTGTAGGTGAAATCATTGCAATCCTTTGATTAAACCCTTCTGGATATAACGAGGAGATTCATTTAAGTGTTCTCAGCATGTCTTCTCGTTCTAATACCTCTCAGTGCTCTATTGTGCACCTAAAGACATAAACCTGCACTTGGATAATTCACAGAGAGGGTCGTTATATTCCCATTATAAACTCCCTCACTCGCTCTTCTCAATTTCTTGAACTCTCTTTCTTTGTCTCTCTTGTGTGCGAGTTTGTGTACCTCTGAAGTCTGTGTAGAACTGAGAGGTTTGTGATTTTTTGTAGTTCCATGCTTAATTAGATAAGCTGCTCTAATCAGAAGCAAATGCTGGTTTTTCACTCTTATTATAAAGACTATAAATTGTAGGATTTAAATGATAAACATGCTTTCAGCACGACAGAATTAAGAGACCCTCTATGCTTTTGTGTTTGCATACAGAATGACGTTGGAGGTTTGAGAAGTCTTACCAACAAGTGGACGACATTCCTCAAAGCAAGACTTGTGTGCTCCATTCCTGGACCGGATGGAGTGGACACGCACTTTGATGAGCTCCGTGAGTGATATGTTTTCTGTTCCTGCTCCCTCTCACAAAAACATATTTCAGTTTTATTATACTTCTTAGCATTTAAAAAGATGTTTATTGTGATTTTTTTATTAATTTTGTGTGTGTGTGTTACAGAGGACATCTTTCTCCTCCCTAGCAGAGATGAAAGAAATCCAATGGTGTACGGAGTGTTCGCCACCACCAGGTGAGACACAGCTCCTACAGTGAGCATGTCAATATTTTTCATTGCTTTTGGTCTGAGTACCATAGCTTGAAATCCATTGTGAAATGTTGGTTTGGTATAAAATGATTTTAAATATATTTTATAGATGAATATAGCAATTAAAAACATGGTTATTTGTATATTTGCCCATTTGTAATGCCCTTTCTTTTACTGTGGTATTCATGTTGTTTTGTTTTCAACATATTTTTTGGGGTCAGTTCTATCTTTAGAGGATCAGCGGTATGTGTCTACAACATGGAAGACATCCGTGCTGTGTTTAATGGACTGTATGCTCATAAAGAGGGACCGGACCATCGCTGGGTGGAATATGAAGGCAGAATCCCCTACCCAAGACCAGGCACTGTTAGTAACACTCTATCAGGGCTGTTTTTCGTCTTGACTTTTTTGTCACTGATACTTTGAGTGAGGAGTTTTATACATTACCACTAGAGGGAGACATAACTCTATATATGCCTAACACTTTACATACAGTGATTCAAAATACTGTTTGCACCAGGGGTGTCCAAACCTGCTCCTGAAAGACGACTGTCCTGCAGAGTTTAGCTCCAACCCTAATTAAACACACCTGAACCAGCTAGTAAAGGTCATCAGACTCACCAAAAACTCCCAGGCATTGTGTGTTGGAGCTAAACTCTGAAGGACGCTGGCCCTACTGGAGCATGATTGGATGTTCCTGGTTTACACAAATACATAATTTATTATAATGCCAAAGGCAGTTACATTACTTCATTTGAGTGCATATTTGTAATTACTTCCAGGATGTTTTACTGTTTTAATTTAAAAATGTATAACTGTAAATCATATCTTTCTTTCGCAGTGCCCCAGTCGGACATATGATCCTCATATAAAAACGACTAAAGACTTTCCAGATGAAGTCATTAGTTTTATACGGCTGCACCCGCTAATGTACCGCTCTGTGCACCCAATGACGGGCCGGCCAATTTTCACTCGTATCAATACAGAGTTGATTACTCAGATTGTAGTGGACCGAGTGGCAGCTGAGGATGGACAGTATGCTGTTATGTTCTTGGGCACAGGTAAAAAAGACAACACAAATGTTACTAGTGATATGTAACAATTAGATATAATGTTGCATTTTGCACTAATTAAGAAAATATGATGCATATTTTATTTTAGTATTTTAAAAAGCTTTAATGATCCAGTGAAGTGGCTACAAAGACAGCATTTTGCTTGTTAACTGTGGTGTCCAAAATGCAGTAAAGGTTTGATACACTTTAAACCCTGTACACTGAAAAAAATACTGGTGTAGAAACAATTTTCACTCAGAAATTGCTTGGAAATTTCACAAATAATTACTCATTGTAACAAACGGAATTAAACTTGAAGTTTAGAAGCAGAAAAATGTAAATAGTATTTTCTTGTAAAACTTACAAGAATGTTTTTCTTGTAAAACAACCAGCAGATGGCAGTACAGCTTAAGATACAAAAATGTGTGCGTGTGTGTCTACAGATATGGGATCAGTTTTGAAGGTTGTCAGCATCACTCAAGAAAACTGGTCCACAGAGGAGATCATCTTAGAGGAGCTTCAGGTGTTCAAGGTAAATGTTGCAAAGAGGATGAATGAACAACAACACGCTAATAAAAACAATAGACAAACACTAATAAACAAAAAGTTCACCTTCTAACAATATTGGTGTATTTATTTATCCAGAGTCCCTCGCCCATCCTCAACATGGAAATCTCCTCAAAGCAGGTAAGAACAGAAGTTCAAACTTGGTTCTAGTGAACTAAATATTTAGCTTGGGAAATAAAAAAAGAAAATTAATAATTTAATAAATTATTTCCTCAAGAATTGACTGACAGCGTTCACCAGCCAGCTGTTTTAGACATTCTACAGGACTGTTTGTTATATTTAAGAAAAACAAACTCAAGCCTCAGTCTCATAACAGATGTGTTATGGCCTCCATTGTTTGTACTGTTTTATCAGAGTCTCACAGATAAGTCTGTTTCTCCTGTTTTTTGGCTATTCCTTTCATTTTTTCCTTTACACTCCCATTTGTCCAATTATGTCTTATTATCTTTTGGAGTTCATGGTTAAGTTTGCGGTCACCCAAAAAGCTTTTGTCCTCTCTACTGCACAAAGATAGAACCTTATGGTTACATCAGCGGGCCACTTGACCAATTCTTTCCACAATTATAATTTTTTAAGGCCTTTTTCTTTTTAATAGCAGAGGATAATAGAGTACAGATAAGAAATCATATGGATAATACAGGGGTCGGATGGAAACTTTGTCTGATTATCTAATCAACATTTTACTTTTGCCTCTAATTCGCTGCAGTGAATATTACCACTTGAAATCATTAAATGGTTTCAAATAAGTTCCTGAACAGCATTTGCTTTTACAAGGCTGTTTTATGGGAAGCTCTGCTGTGACTGCCTGATTTTTTTCAGACTCATGCTGAGAGAAAAGCAATAGCACCACAACTTTTATTGTACATGTTGTTTGCTCATTTCTCTGAGTCACATGTACACATGCTTCTTTTTAGAGTTTGCTGGACCAAAAAGACAAATTATGCTGATTGATAACTCTGTTAGAGAGTTTAATCCAGTAAGCACTTTTTTTTTGTCATTGCACCTGGTTTAGTATTTATTTATGTGTGTGTGTGTGTGTGTGTGTGTGTGTGTGTGTTTGTGTGTGCAGCAGCAGATGTTTGTTGGAGGAAGCGACGGGTTGGTGCAGGTGTCCCTTCACAGGTGCCATATTTATGGGCAGGGCTGTGCAGAATGCTGCCTGGCTAGAGACCCCTACTGCGCTTGGGACGGCACCCAGTGCTCCAGATACATTCCAGCCTCCAAAAGGTAACACACACACACATGAACCGATAAAGACATTGTCCCAAAGAGTCGATGCAAAGCCTTGACATTGATTCACAGAGTCAGCACTTCTGTTTAACTGTTCTGTCTTCTTATCGGCACACACAAAAACACAAAGCCACATGTGTCCTACAATATCCCAGAGATGTGCACCGTGTGCAGTGCGGTGCTCTGAGGTTTTTGGGATAGCAGAAAGTTAAAAGAGAGAGAGGGTTTTGTGGTGCCCTCTTTCTGACCTACTTCACCAGGGTGAGTTGTTTCCTGGAGTTCAGCACAGAGAAGAAAATGATAAATATTTGATTTTTCCTGTGCCATAGGGTGTAGTGGGACTGGACTTGACTTCTTATCGGCACACACAAAAACGCAAAGCCACATGTGTCCTACAATATCCCAGAGATGTGCACCGTGTGCAGTGCGGTGCTCTGAGGTTTTTGGCATAGCAGAAAGTTAAAAGAGAGAGAGGGTTTTGTGGTGCCCTCTTTCTGACCTACTTCACCAGGGTGAGTTGTTTCCTGGAGTTCAGCACAGAGAAGAAAATGATAAATATTTGATTTTTCCTGTGCCATAGGGTGTAGTGGGACTGGACTTGACAGGCAAATTGATTAAAGTTGCTTTGTTGTTGAGATGATGTATGTGAGCTGCCAGAGAAATGTTCTTGCCCTTTCTCTCCCCGGCTCTCCAGTCCGCCACTGATGCAAGGAGGCCAGGTCAGTCCTGCAGAGAGAGCGAGCGAGAGATAGGGAGACACACAGAGAGAGGAATTTTTGTTTGTTTTGGAGATTATTTGGCTGTCAGATGGCTCTGTTTGAAATACGCTTTGTGGCTTCATTAAGATTCACTGAAGTTTGTTGTACTACAGAAAGAGCTAAGGGTATTTTTAGAAAAATCATGGTGGTACTGCTTTTGTGTTTAAAATGGAATAAAATACATAGCATGACTGTAGTCTTATTCTTTTCTTGTTCTGAAGATTAACCTTTAGATCAGCCAGTTTATATCTTTTGTTCTAATTGCTCTTGCTATTTTGGATTTATGATTGATTTATCTAGTAGTTCTCAACCTTTTTGGCTCCAAGACTCCATTGTCTACAACAATATTCATAGACCCCATGACCCACTTTTTCAGTTGTTTGTGATTTTCTCAATAAGGATTTAAAAAATATTTTTCACGCACAATTTCTACCCAATAAAATATTTTATAGCTTGGCATAACAAGAAGAATGCATATCCATTATACAAATTCTGTGTCTGAAAATGTTATACTGTTTGAATATTAATAAATGGATGCTGAACAATATTAAAAACTCAAGCTGTATTTGCCTTAATTTGATCAGCAGCTCTTTAAATATTGTTGTTGTTTAAGAAGTCTAAAATGTAATCAAAATGAATCTGAATCTAAAAAAGGCTTTTTTACTTGTGCTTACAGGAGGGCCAGAAGGCAGGATATCAAACATGGAGACCCATCCAGCCATTGCTGGGACACAGAGGATGGTAAGGAGGCATATGTGTGTGTGCACATATGGAGCATAAAAGCACTAAAAGCTCTGTTTTATTTTAAGATGCTGCATTGTCCTGTGGGGCTCACCTAATGGATCTCAACACTATCCCAAAAAATACCTTTACTGTCTTTCTGATATGCTGATCACTCTCTCTCTCTATCTTTGGCAGTGTTAGGGAGGAATGTCGAGGAGAAGGTGTTGTATGGAGTAGAGAGTAACTCCTCTTTTCTTGAGTGCGTTTCAAAATCCCAGCAGGCCTTGATTCGCTGGTTCATACTGAAGCCAGGAGCGGACCAACGTCAAGAGGTAAAATCAACATACATCTGTCTCAGTCTGTGCCTTTGTGTGTTTGTGTGTATTATTCACACACTTTCCTAGCTCTCTCTCTCTTTCTTTTTTTGATCAGTTAGTAAGTAGTTAGTTACACTCCATAGTAAATATTTAATAAGTATTTATTATTTATATATTTCAGTATTTTACTTTAGATCGGATGCAAAGAATAAAATTATCAAGGCCATAGAACCTGACGAAAGTGAGGGGCGTGGACCATCCTGCTGCGTTGCAGATGTCCTGCATAGACACACCTGCTAAGAAGGCCTTGGAGGCCGCCATACCTCGGGTCGAGTGAGCCTTGACACCTAATGGTGAGGGGAGATCAGAGGACTCATAGGCAGTAGTAAGGAAGCTACGAGCTGTGCCCCCTCGGGCCACACCCATAACTTCCACAGCTCCGGGCGGGGGGTGGAATATCGTGCCCTCCGCCTGTGAGAGGAGGTTCCTCCTGACGGGGATCTCCCATGGAGAGCCGTCGAGAAGGGCAATCATGTCCGAGAACCATACTCGGCCCGGCCAAAACGGGGCTACCAACAACAGACGGGCCCCGTCCTGGCGCACTCTCTCCAGAACTCCCGGGAGCAGAACGATCGGGGAAGCCTCCATTCCCCAGGCCTCGGCCCCTGCCTCGACAGGACGTCTAATCCCATATTCAAATACCCAGGAATATGCACTGCTCTCAGTGACAGGATTTTACCCTGGGACCACACAAGGATCTGGTGCGCCAGCTTGTACAAGGGGCGCGAACGCAGGCCTCCTTGGTGGTTGATATACAGCAGGCCAAAAGGTATCACGTTGGACGCAGCTGCCATTAACCCCAATAGTTTCTGAAACTGCTTGACAGTGAGTGACTGGCCTTCTCTGACTCTCTTGACTACCGTGAGGATTGACTCGATCCGAGCAGGAGACAATCATGCCTGCATCGTGGTCGAATCCCACACCACGTCCAGATAGGTGGTCCTCTGTAATGGAGAAAGGACACTTTTCTTGGTGTTTAGTCTTAACCCCAAGTCCTTCAAGTGAGCTGTCGAACCGCCATCTGCTCCGATTGAGCTAAAATCAACCAATCGTCGATATAATTTAGTATGTGGATGCCCTGGAGTCGCAGTGGAGCCAGAGCGGCATCCACACACTTCGTAAAGGTGCGGGGTGAGAGTGCTAGGCCGAAAGGAAGAACTCGGTATTGGTAAGCTTCGCCCCTGAAAGCAAACCTCAGGAACTTCATGTGAGTGGGAAGGATGGAGACATGAAAGTACGCGTCCTGTAGATCTATCGTAACAAACCAGTCCTCGGATCTGATCTGAGACACAACTTGCTTGATGGTGAGCATTCTGAACTTCAGTTTCATGACTGAGCTATGTTTTATTTTCTCTGTGGCCTTGGAAATTGTGCTTATATCTTTCTTTTATGACGGACAACACCAAATAGGACTCACAATAGAGATTATGACTGACACACACAGAGCGCTTCGCTGAATGACAGAAAGCTGACGCCGGTTCCACCTCACGTGCTTTTATAGCTTCCTGGTCGCTACGTCACCCGCCTATGACGTCTCGCCCTTCCATTGGACTGATTACACATGTGATTCAGAGCGTGGTCACGCTGGGGGCGTTCCCTTAGTTTTCTTCGGACACAGCTCGAGTTCCTGAAGGGGAACTGGAACAGTTCTATTGGTAATTGTGAAAATGGCCTGAGGCTTAGAAACTGAGGGAACACAAACAGAGATACAGAACACAGCAGTGCTGTCAAGAAGTGACCTTCACTTGTGGATTCATCTCTCTTATTCAATGTTTTACACCTACGCATTTAATCTCATCTCATCTTCACTGCTGTTGATTGGGAGTCACCAGGGGTGAGAAGTAACGAATTACTCACGTTACAGTAATCAAGTAGTTTTTATCAGTAATTGTACTTTTTTGAGTAGTTTAAAAATTGTGTACTTTTACTTTTACATGAGTACATTTTAAGTGATGTATCGGTACTTTTACTCCGCTATTTTCCTCCGTTTGTGGTCGTTACATGCTTATTTTAATTTTATTTTTATCCATCAACGTGATTGGAC